AAGATTTATACTTGCATGGTTGTTAAAAAAGAAACAGCCCAACATGCACATAATAAATTAGAGATACCAAAAGCTAAAAACAGGCAAGTACAACAAATTGAAGAAAATCTGAAGAAATACACATCTTTAAAGGAAAATTTTAAAAAGTAATTTAAACTGCTACTGTATAATAACTGTCATGATCCATCATAAAAGGAATTTTAAAAATTACACTTCTATGTGTTTGAGAATTTTAAAAAGGAAATAATCAAAAGTAAATGCATAAAATGAAAAAAAAAAGGATTGATTAAAAAATTGCTATCTAAGCTTAACTTGGTACAAGTATGGGACACTCAATGAGAATCGAACTCACGAGTTACGATCAACAAGACTCGCTCGCTTACACTAATCAAAATTTGATAAAAAAAATAATTAAACAGCTGGTCACGACTTTCTAAGGACAAAAAGCATATTACATCACTACAAAACTCACATTCGATTGGTTTAATTTGTGCTAAGAGAGGCGTGACTACTCGGAAGCTATTCATTGGCTAATTGAGTTAATTTAGCACAGCACTAAACAGAAAGCAAAGAATGTCTAGGCGACTCTTCCTGCTCCTCCCACTACCAATATTTGCATTGTACTTGACTATCACAAGGTTTTAGAGAGGGAATGTGTTCGCGCGAGCGCGTATATACATACGTATACACACAGATACACACAAATATTTCACACACCCTAATATCCACATAAGGGGTGCGTGCGTACCCGGAGACAAGGAAATGAACTTCAATAATTGGTTATAATAAAAAAATAAAAAAATAAATGGATGTAAAAAGATTGAGCCAATATTTGAAATACCAGACAAGTGGCTACTCACATTTTCAAATGTCTGGGATTTACAAAGTTACTGATTATAAAATGTTTTTAATGCTTTCTATTCAACTCCTTTATTCATTATTCATAATTCACTCCCCCCCTCTACAATTTTATTTTAGTTTTTTTTTTTTTTTATTTAAGCCATGCAGTAAAACAAGTTTAAATTAAACTTTACATATCGCATAAAGTGTTTCAAGCCCTTCCCACATCTGGTGCATGGTAAGTTTTATTAAAAACACAGCATTTTATGCTAATACCGAAGGTAAAAGGTTTAGTTTTCGCTTAAGCCGCCATTTTTCCAGAAATTGCAACGGACATTTAGTGGAGAGGGTGTGCTTTTAAAGGGGTTATGGTTGTTTAGGGGAATTACGAACTGATTCAAATATCAAAATTATAGCTTGCAGCACATGGTCCGGGAGAGTAAAGGTATGTATTAATATTCATGGCGGTAGTTGCCCATGAACAAACCTCAATATGTTGCTAGTGAGTGAGATGATCCTCCTAATGAATCAAGTTCTCTCGAAATAAAATTTAAAGCAAATTCAGTTTCCCGTTCCGTCACCGCCCTCTTTACTTTTTTCCTTGGAAACTTTTCGAAAATAATTCCTTCAATGGTATGCATTATATATTTTTTTTACGTACGTATTATTATTACTTTTAGTTAAAAAAAAAAAATGGAGATATAACTTAAAGTATTTAAACAGATTTTCAGAAATTTTTTTTTTTTTTATTAGGTAGACTGACTGTCAAGACATGCCAGCTTACAAGTGTAGGCGTGTTCGATTCCCATTGAGAGCGCCACTTGTTCAGCCTTGGATCTTACTATGAAAATAAACTTGTCTTTAGCTGTGTACGAGTATACCACTTGTTTTAAAATAGTCTTTGAGGGAATTTTTTTTTTTTTTTTTGGTTTTTTTTGTGTATTTAAATCTGGCTTTTTAACTACATTTGCACGCACAAGATCGATTTACTTTTTTTTTCCTTTTGCAAGGATATTTTTTTTTTTAATAAAAAAAAAGTAATTTAAAAGGGAGACTTAACAAAAATAACAACTAAAAAGTAAAGGCAGGCCAAAATTTTTTCTTCCGCTGTTGACTTTTTTTTTTTTAAAACGGAACTTAAAATTCTAGAAATTGATATTTTTTTAATTATAATCCTAGTATTTTTTTTTTTTTAATGGAGATATACATTTAAGTTTATTCGGAGTTGTGCATTATTCACCCAGGCAATAAACAAGCCCTCCACTACCAAAAAAATGTATCTTTTAAAACTTTTTTCTCTTTTAAAAGAGAATAAGAAACAGTAACGTAACGCCGATATTAAAAGTTATTGATTTACTTATCTTTGTGCTTTTTGTTAATATTTGATAGTCGTAAGTAAGATAACGAAACTGAAAATAAACTGTCACTATAGTAGACAACATTCTGTTGGTAAAGTTAGACTGACTGAAGAGAAGGAAAAAAGCATGAAAAAATGTCGGTAATAACATTTAGGTCAGCAGTCAAGAATTGACGAAAGGAAAAATAGACAATAATAGTTTCCCTAAGAAGACAAGTGCATCAAAATTTGAGGTTTAAAAAAAAAGTTTATTTCACTGGTATAGTTAGTTTAAGTTAGTTACTAGTTCAGTTAAAAAAATTATACTTTCTTTCGCAATCCAATACGATATTTGATTCGCTCTTTTAGACACAAAAATTTAAAATAGATTATCAAGTTAGCAAGCAATATTGCAAACAGCGTGTATATGACAGTTAATAAGGGTTGAAACATTTTTCTATTTGTATGGAGTGTGTAAAATGCCATAACACAAGACTAAGAGGTAACAACAAGTTTAAAAACTTAGACTTTGTTATTAGGAGAATTAGTTCACTAAATCCAAAAGTAATAAAAAAATCCTTTTAGCCTCTAAATTTAACTTAGTGTTATTAGTGTTGAGATTTTCAAATTAATTTAATGAATGTAGTAGTGAATTAAATAAATTTAACTATTTTTTTTCTGTCATTCAGAAATCATAAAAATAACATTTTCATTACAACGGGACTTTGAAAAATTCCCATACATAGCTTTATTTGTTTAATATTCAATATTAAATTTCAAACAAAACTGAACTTTGAGATTAAAATTTTAATGTATTTTTTTTTAACCTTTTTCGCATGACGTAAAAAAAGTGTTAGTTTAATTAAGCATTTTTCATAATAAAAAATAATTACAAAAAATCATCAACAGTGAAAATAAATCTAAAATATCTTATTTACTCAGAAAAAAGTACGAGACAAACTAGTCTGAGATCGCCAACAGTTAAAAAAAAAGACAAAAATGACAAGACAACCCAAAATTATTTGTCATCGGTACAAACCTTCCAAACTTATTCAACAAGTTATAAATCGAAAAAAAAACTATCAACCTGAAAAATACATAAAGTTTTATTTAATTAAAGATAAATAAAAATGAACTTATTTTTCAAAATATTTAACTTTTTTTTTAACCATCTGGTTAGATTTGTTGATATTTTATTTATTTTTACAAAGAGGGGGGAAAGTCTAAAAATTCAATATGTCACATTTCTCAAATAAAGATAGTAATGTTCCAGACTAAAACGTTTTATTTTAATAATCCAAAGTAAGTAATAATAAAGAAATTATGATCAAATTTCTTAATTCCTTAACGTAAAATAAATAAAATTAATAAATAAATAAAAAACAATCAAGTAAAAAACTTTCTTTACAAGTTTTTGTAGTACAAAAAAAAAAAACTACGTAAAAAAAAAACAATATTGTATGCATTATTCAATTGTAAATTTTATTTAAGGATTCACAACGATTTAGAAAAATGAAACTAAGCATTTGTTTTTTTTAATTTTTATCTTAATTTATATTATCTTTGGTTGGACAAACGTGAAAAAGCAACGAATTTTTAATGTAAAACTGAAAGAGTGGAAAAGGAGGTCATCGTCATTTATGGATGTAAAGGAAGAAAACATTAGTTTCATTTTCACTAGTTGCGATCAAAATAGAACGTTTTTGCTTAAATAACAAAACAAAAACAAAATACGTCTGAAGGTTATTTATCTTGCTTAAAAAGGCTAAATAAACATTAAAGAAATTGAACTTTAAAAATAAAGAGAGAAAAGTTTTGCTTTTTTTTTTTAAGACGAAGACAAATTCGTAACTTTTAGAACGAGATGTAAAAATAAGAGAAAGTTTATCAAACATGAAACAATGATTTATTAACCGAACGAATCTTTCTTTTTTTTGGCGTAAAGCTTAAAATGATTTAAATATTAATTTGAATCACAGTTTGTAAGGAAAAAGATGAATATTTAATATTTTTGTTCAGATGTGTGCTCTAAGTCTAAGTGTAAAAAAATGAAGTACTAAACACTTCAAAACTCGAAAAGGATTTCTATTTTAAAAAATGGTTAGTTCTTAAAGAAGGGTGAAAATGACCTTTAAAACGTTGTCATACGTTTTTAGCAAAGAAAATAAAGAAAAAAAATATAAACAAGTTACTGAAAAATAAAACGAAAAAAGTTTTTTGCTTATTTTTTTTATTTTCGCTTTTCCTTTTTGTTTGTTAAAATATGTTTCGTTTTTGCAAAAGGCGATCTTTATACCTCTCTGTAGTTTTTAATTTTTAGCAAATAAACTTGACATCTTATTTCAATTCATATCTTTTTTAAAAATAAAAACCAATGGATATTTTAGGAATAAAGATCAGACACAGTGTTTTCTTTTTATCAACAAAATTAGTATTTATATAATTACTACCCTTAAGATATGAAACTAGTTTACTTTCGATATTATTTTAATTTTTAAACCAAATTATCATGCGTTGTTGCTTTTTTTTGGTGTTTCTGTCTTGTGCAACAAGTTTGTTATTTTGATGAGATTTCTTTAAAAGTTTGCACCTGATCATGATTTGCCGTTCTAAAAAGCTTAAATTAAAAAATTCTTCTAATAAAAACAATTATAGACGAGATTTAAAAATAAAAAAAACTTTAACTCGAGAAATTTTTTTTTAAATGTCGATAAGACTAATAAAAAAAAACTTAGAACAATAGAAAAAAAATTAACTTAAAATATAAAAAAAGAAAAATCCTTTGAAATATGTGTGTAGAAAAAGAAAGCAAAAAGTTACTTACCAACAACAGAATTCTTTTTGGGTTCATTATGATTTACAAAACATTCCTTTTCATGTTTTGTGGACGGATCTCCAAGGAATGAATTTTCTCCTTTAATTTTCATATCATTTGCGGTTTTTTTCCCTTTTCGATTATTCTTTTTGACAGAAATCTGAGAACTTAATTTCTTTTTCTCGGTGTCTTCTAAAGTTGAACAAGTACTAGACCGATTCATTCTCATAAAATTTACTCCATTTTTCGGTACATTTGGAGAAGAAGAAGACGAAGGCAATTCCGTATTAATATTGTTGTCAATAGTTTTTTTGCTTTTATTTGCAACAAATTCGATGTTTCGGCTCTCAGAACTGTTTTTACTTGTAGATGTGTTATTAAATGTTTTACCAGTATTAAAGTCAGTGTTGTTCGACAGCGGTTTACGACGTGTATTTATCAAAGACATTTTATATTAAAGAAAAAAAGTTTTCTTTCACTTTTTTTTTTCGTTTTGACAGCGGGGTTTTTAAAGTTCGAAATTCGCAGTTTAGTTTGAAACTTTCCGCAAGTGTTCTTAAAAGTTCTTATCAGCACAAGATGAATTAACTTCGAATATCCAATAATATTAAATACATGTTTTTTGTTTCTACATCGGACAATATATATATATATTTAAATGCATAAAAAGCGTAGAATTATAAGAGCTCGCCTACAGCTCGACAATCCAACGGAGACACTGCTTAGCTAAACAAGACAAATAAATTTCAAGGAAGATAACTTTTTACATTCTTTTCACGAAAAGTCAAGTGTTTTAAGATGCTAATTTTTCGCTTCTAATTTATCGAGTATTTAAAAACTTTTGCTAGCATTTACATTTTCTACCTTCTGTAATTACTGCTTGTATATAAATTGTGTAAAAGCGAGGGTTAGGAAAAAAAAACTTTTTCAATTGAGAAAATTTTAAAAGTGATAGTCTAAAAAAGCATTAATTTCAGTTTCGTTTTCGTTTTTATATTGGTAGCAAAGCAAGCAAGTGTAGAAAGAAATATACCACGTTCCCAGACTGAAAATAAAACATATATCCCATTGTTACTGATTAAAAAAACAGACCTGTACGACAACTAAGAAGGTCTTCTTGAAGTTAGTGAAGTGTTGAATTAAAGTTCCACGTTAAATAAATAAATAAAAGAAAAGGCCTAGAGAGTCAGAAACACAAGCTGACACAGATTGATATGGATGCTTGTCTTCTGCCTACGGAAGCTTTTTTTTTTTAGTGGGAAGTTAATGAAGTTTGTTAGTTTTTCACTCATTGTCTTTCGATCATTAACAAACACGTCCATTAAACGTTAAAACCAATGCACTTTATCTCGAGTTCGACCCTCACTGGATGTCCCAATACTATTTTCTCGCTGTGCTATAGACCAACCTTAAACTAAAAAAACACGTCATTTTCTTTCTTAAGAAAAATGTTACTTCCCACGTCTCTCCTTAAAAAAAATAAAACTACTATAAGGCCCGCTAAAGATGGAGTAATAAAATAAAAGTTTAGTATACGAACTGAGTTTGCACTGCAGTGATATTTAACTGATTTTGAAAATTGTACAGTTGGAACAGCAAAAAAAACAAAAAACAAAAGATGCATAATTAGAAAATATATAAATGAATTTTATTCTACCAATTATAAAAATATGAAATAAAGACATTTTTTTTAAAGTCAACTGTTCCCAGGAATTTTTTGAAACAAATGCAAGACAAATTTGAAAACTTGACAAGGTTAACTTTGGCGTGTGTCATTTTTAACAACTGTCATATCATAGAGCAGGGATTAAAAGATAAGCCATAATTTATTGATTGAATTAACATTTTTTTTTCTTTGGACAAAGAAAAACATAAATAGGTCCCAAATCATGAACCATAAATGAAATGATTTATTGCGAATTCTTCCTTTTTGTTTTTAAAGGATTATTTTTTATGAGGCCCGAGTAAAAAAAAGAAAAAAAAAGGATACAATTTGACATTAGTTTCTTTCTTTATGATGTATGTGTGTGTGTGTTTAATGATGATTATGTTCAGTTAATGATTCTGTTGTAGTAATCTACAATACATACATATTTTTATTACTTCGAACGTGATTATAGTGGACACTTCGCATTTGAAATAGACGCCCCATTTTTTATATTCTGTACTATTGCGTCTATCAGTTTTCGCCTTCGAGAAAACTTAGTAAAGAAAATGTGAGACCGAAAACACGTCCCCCTTTTTAGGAGAAACCGCCGTATGATCTGGTGCGTTTTACCGCTCAGCCACGAAGAACCTCACTGTTAAGACAAGAAGACTCTATTTTTCCTTTTTAAGAATTGTATATAGTAGTTAAGTAATAAAAGTGTTGAATTAAAAGTAAATCAATTAATTCTTTATAAATACTCTAAAAACATTTAAGAAGAGTAATACATATAAATTACATCATTTAAATTATTATTTATATTAATTGCTGTATGACAAGCCTTATTTCTTTTTTCAGTATTGTCATTTTTGTTCAAGACTTTATCTGGATAAGAATTTTAGGTTTTGGCAAGTTGTTTGTTGGTTACATGTCAACGGTTTTGTTTTTGTTTTTCTTTTATATATATATATATAGAGAGAGACAGAGTGAGATTATGCATATCACAAGCTTTAATAAGTCAAATTCGTTTTTAAAATTTTGGTCAAATTTTAAACGATCAATTTAGACTAAGTTAAATTTTTAGGCACTTTTAACATGATTTATTCACGTTATTTAATTTATTCTAAAATCTGCTTTCTGAAGTTATTATGTAAAACAAGAAAATCACGTTTTACTTCAATAACAATGAATGAAATTATCAACAACTGATCAAAACCTATAATAAAAAAAATGTGAGTACCATTCAAAGAAAGTATTGTCCATGAAATTGTAGTAGTTGCTACTGTTCAGCTTCACCCTTCATTGACTTTGAATGGCTCATTCATGGTTTGTTTGACAATCTGGTTTGTCCCTCTTGACTCTCAATTCCAGTCTGTCCAAAGATCTGAGTGCTGGTTAAAAATGGTTGTTTCATTCTAACTTGTTTCAGTTTAGTTTCCTTTTGAAGTGACAAGTTCTTAAAACCTTTTCATTTGCTTCTAGTTCTCAATTTATATATATATATATATATATATATATATATATATATATATATATATATATATATATTTTAATCATTTCACCCCAAGTAAGGCGAGAATGCCACTAGTATGCAGGAGGTTACAGGGAGTGAAAGAGAAAACTGAGAATAGGGAGGATTGAGGAAAAGACAGAAAATGAACAGGATTCAAGAAGACAAAAGATGGCAATTGATGTTGCATTTAAATTTTTGAAGATTGTAGTTATCAGAGTAGCAAGTAAACAGAAGTGAATTCCACAGAGAAAAGAAATTAGAGTAGAAGGAGCAATTGCATTTATCTATTTCATCAGTAAAAGGGTGGGACCTAGATGCCAATCTAGTAGCCCACTTAAATTCATGTAGTTTTAGGCACCAGGGAAAAAAGCTCATTAGAGCAGTTAACATGAAAATATTTGTAGAAACGACAGAGGGAAGTCATGTCACGTCAGTGAGTCAAGATGCCCAGTCAGGATCAATTAGAGATCCTTCTTCGAATTATTGTCAAGAATCTCTAGTTGTACAGCATGAGCAACAGATTCCTTTATCATTCAAAGGTCTCTGTGAAGATCCTTTGATATCTCCAAAGCCGACATTCCCTCATTTGATAACTTTAGAGATCCAGTTTTCCAACATTTGTTAAATTCTTCCCATTACCTATCTTTCAATATATATATATTCCGGAAAAAACGAAAAAAATAGTATTTGTTAGGTTTCAGAGGTCTTAAACTAATATTATTTCAATTGATGTAATAACTTCAGAGAAGTTCATCTTTGTAAATTCTAGATATCTTAAATAACATTTGTTAAAAGAGGATAAAAGTTTACATAATGATTTTACCAAGGGTGGAAATACACTAATATAAATTTCACAAAGATTTTTTCAGGACTTTTTGACTTATCGAGGTTTATGTGATTTGCAAAATAACAACTTCAGACAGGCTTAAGCTACACCGAGTCTGGTCAGTACCTCAATGTGTTAATGTTTGGGAATACAAGGAGCTGTAAATTTGGATATGCGGGTGGTGTAATATATAATGGCTCAGAATTGCTTATCGGAGAGCCGAGTTCAATTTCCAATTAAGTTTGTTATATTCACTTATGTTCAAATGCCCTTGGGAACAGTATGAATATGCTTCTTCTCCCTCTAGCTATGGGTTAATTAGTAAGACTTGTATCAGTCAGCCAGTTAAGTGCCATACATGATACATGCTTGGGCGATCATGTATCTTTTGACACATGACTAACAAAGCAGATTTTTCCTGCAGTAGGTTGCCATTTCTTTCTGTGATAGAGTGGTTGCCAACCAAGGCTAATGAACCCAGGCTGTCCAGCTATTCAACCCATATCAGGGGGAAAAAGAGATGGATTAATACCTTTCCCAAGGGTATTTGTGCATAAAAGAATCTAATGAACTCAACAGGAACCAGTTCTCTGAGTTCTCACTCTGAGTCGATATCCATTACACCACAAATCACTAAACCATTATTATATCAAAAAAAATTTCTTACAATCTAAAAATATTTTCTGGTTTTAGATAGCCTGTAATGGGTTGATAAGTCGTAGCAAACAAATCACTCAGTCAATACATAAATACATATACATATTTATGCATAAAATAAATAATAAAAGAAAAATTTCTTTTTTTTTAATAGTTATCATCACCGAACGAAATTTATCAACGAAATTTATCAAGGTGAAAATGCATTGATAAAATTCATCAACGAAATTTATCAAGGTGAAATGCATTGATAAATAAAACATTTTCCTCTCATTTACCAGTGCAATTCATCCTCTGATGGAAATTTATCAAGGTAAATGCAAGAATTTTATTTTGCAACATGTATTTATAAACAGAAGTAAAATAAATATTGTTGGGTTTTCAAATTGTTTAAATTTAAGTATTGGTCAAAAATATTCTTAAGGCTAACTGCAAAAGTCAAGGTAAAGTATAAAGAATACAAAGGAAAGT